TCACTGGGATTTGAACTCTAGACCTGCCACTTGGGGGTTGACAACCTATCCACTTCACTAGGTCGCCACACCCCTATGAACAACCTATTATTATAATTATTAAATACTGATTTGATATAGAATTTATATTAATAAAATAAATTTGATAAACTCTTTCTATAAATCATTTTTACACAAAAATAACTAAAAATTTGTTAGTACTAAAATTGGTCATATCTAGTTATTTTATTAAATAACTAACTTTGGCATCTTAAGTAAACTTGGTCAGCTTCTAATTTTATATATATTCTGAAAGTTTTAAAAAATTAACTCTCAAACTCACAGTTTAATACTGCAATAATGGCCTTTGGAATTCTAAACTTTTTTTTTAATTATTTTTTGATAACTAGCTTTCAACCTACTCTATAGTCTAAAAAAAGTTGTAAAGCTTATTTTTTTTATCAAAACAAGGTCTAAACAAACCCAATAAACCCAATATTAACAGAGATATCTTAAAAAACAGTTTTAACTTTCTTTAAACTCTTTAAAAAATTCTTTTTTATTTACACTCACTTTTTTTTTCTTACATGATTTTTGTTTAACATTAAATCATTATTATAATTGTTTTCATAGTAAACCAATTAATATTACTTAAAATAGTATACAATTTTTTATTGGTTTTTCTTCTTTTACTAATTTGATTTTGTACACTATTATAAGGCTTTTTTGGGACATGTAACTAAATTGTTACATTAAGTCATACTTGCTATATTAGCCATACCTTGTACTATATAGATTACATAAAATTGTTCTCAAGATTACACAAATCTGCTGCAGCTGCAGTAGCTGCAATACTACTTTATACCTCTGTCAAGTCAACTCTTACTATTATAAACTTTATATATTAAAAACTTCAACAGTTAATAATAAAAAATTTTACTAATATTAATTTTTCATCCTTAAGTATACTTGTAGTATATTTCTTCTTTATTAAACAGAATGTTTACTTTGACTATCCAAAAACCATATCATTTTGATCTTGACTATTTTCATAACAAATACAGTAATTATTATAGTACAATGATCTGAGAAGTGCAATCTATACAACTTAAAGTAATGCTATTTGCATTTAACCTATCTGAATGCAATATCACTAAATCTCTTTACTATTTTAAAACTTCTACTCAACCTACTATTGTTTGCTGTTATTGTCAAAAATTTTATACTCTCTTTACTTTTAGTAATCTTAACATTTCATCTAGACAAGCAACCTCTCCTTCTTTTTCTCAAAAATCCACATATATGGATATTAATATACACCTAAACAAGTCAAACAACTTAAAGAAATTATTGCTCAATCACTAATTGCAAAAACAACTCTGTTTCTCTATTACTATTTCCTTTGAACTATTCTATAACTCAACAAGAAACTTCATCTAGTTTAACATAAACTTCTCAAATCTAAACACATTCTTATCTTGCACATATATTATTTGTCAAAATAAAAACATCTTATATGCTTTCTTAGAAAATAATATACACTTACTTCTCAACAAATCTATTCTTATAATTAAAGGATTCCTAGCATATTCTAAATATATTTATAAACTCAAACTTAAACCTATTACTCAAACCAAAGCACTTACTTCTATACAAATTCAAACTGCTCTTGTAATCAAACTTATTACAATACATGAAGAAAAAATTTTAATTTTCAAAAAATTCTTAGAATTATTAAAACAAAATCAACAAAATCAACAAAAATATCAAAACCTATATTAAAAACAACCTATTACCAAGAATCCGTTTATTTTCAAACTTACACTTTTTACTTTTATTACAGATGAAACAATTAATAAGAACAACAACAATAATATCAAAAATCAAATGAACAATTTTACAGTCAAGCAGTAAGACCTAAATGCAACCTATTATTTGACTGATTAGCAAATTTTTCAGTCACTAATAAAATGCAAAACTATACAAAATTAGAAACTAAGATATTACACTAACTTTTTAATTTCCTTAAAGAATACTTATACAACTTCTATTTTGATAAAGTTCTTAAAGAAGTTACAGAAACTAAATATGCACTTAAAGCTAGTTTCTATTTGTTGATTAGACAAATATCTAGTACCAGACCAAAATTTCTTATTAACCTAATCCAAAAACACAACTCTGAAACAGATAAAGCTGTAACAATCCTTTTCAATATTTTAAAAGAAAGCCTTAAAAAACTTATTTATATATTTACAACAGTCTTCTTTACCAAACTTAATTATTCTGAAATATTTGCCTTCTCTAATACAATTTTACCAATTAAAACTGAAAATTATCTACAATTTTGTCTCAATCTTGCTTACTTATATTTAAATATTTCTACTAATTACTAAGCAATTTACTATACAAAATTTGTAAAGATATCAAATTCAAATCTAAAAGGTTTAAAATAACATCAGAGGTTACTGTTTTTAACAAAGAACAACAATATTTTTCTATCAAAATGGATAACTGATTCAACATCAAACTAAATTTTAATCTTCCAAAATTTCTTTTTCTTAACAAATATAATATATCATCATTTAAATACTTGCTCAGTCATTTTAATGAATGGTTTGAAAAAGCCTTTTCATTATATAACTAACAATTTTCCAATACAATTAACAAAACCAAACTATCTAACTACCTTAAAAATAAATTCAGACAACACTTTATCTTGTATCTAAAAAACCTTTTGCCAACTAATATCGACTTTATAAAACCAACTAATTTTCAAGAATGATGTCCTGAAACTTTTATATATGCTAATTATTATATACTCATTTGTATAGAATTTAAATGTTTCTATCTTGAACCAACTGATACTAAAAAAAAACAAAGAAGCTGATACTAATTCAAAGAAAATCTTTATATTACAATCTACACATAACTCATTATTACTTATCAAAGATGTATTTGAAACATTTTACAAAACCTATTTAATACTAAAACATAGAATAAACCTTTCCTTAATACATCCATATTCTATATTAAAGGCAAGCACAAAGCCACATTCACAAAACCAATTTCTACTTTAACTTTTAATGAACTAACAACAAAGGCAGAAGAGTACATTTGTTCTTCTAATGCTATTAAAACTAATTCTAAATAATAAGGCTTCTACTTTTACTAATACTTATCAATATATCATAATATTGCTACTCAAAACCATAATATTAACAAAATGAATAAATAACAAGCCATCAAGTTTTTTATAACAAAACTAATTGATACTAACTTTCTAGTCTGAGTTTTATATTCTTTAACTGCACATGAGGAAATTCTCCAAATTACTCTAAAATAACTAAATTCTATAAAGAAAAAGACTTACTAGAGCTAGAAACAATTTTATATAACAAATTCAATATCAAATTTGAAATATCTATTTCAATTAAGGAGTCACTCTTCTTGAAAAATGAAGAAGAGGTTTCTTTTCAATAAATTCTTTAGTAGTACCTATAAAAGCAGCCACTACTTCTGAAATTATAATATTTTTCATTAATAATAGGCCATTTTTAGAAGAGAATCATGAAAGTGAACAGGTGGTTAAGTCCATTTATATGAAGAACCAAGTTAATGATAGCAAAATTTAACATACAAAGCAGGCTATAGCACTCTTCTTAACTGTGAGAGCTGAGCATACAGTGAGGAATCTATAGGAGAATTTTCTATTTTCTTGAATTCTATTTCATCATCAAACATTAAGAAAGCACTATAAGAACCAGTTTACAAAACATTATATGATCCAGACTCATGCTATAATCAATGGCTAGCATGTCTGAACCTATCTCTACTTCTACACCCACAAACACACAACTTCTTTCTAAAACATATCTATCTATACAATTTTACACAATACAATAATTTTAACTATACATTCAAAATATTAATTAAACTTGACTATAATGAATGTTATATATATCTACCATATATGTCTCAATCCTTATCTGAATATTTTTTTCATAACTATCAAATTATACCTACTATCTATCTATATCTATTCTTTTTAAATTTTCTCTAACAAACAATAATACATTAAATACTAATTTAATTATAAAGGATAATGAACTTGTTAACACTTATTTTCAATTTTTAGGAACTATTTTTGAAGACTATGATGAAACCACCATAGCTAAACAATACTACAACAACATCTAATTTAATACTTATTACAACAAATTTCTATTTTACAATTATATACTACTACTTTCTTATCTTCAAACTATTAATATTTTTTTACAACATATCTATAGCTTTGGCTATTTACCTAATAACTTGTATAGTTATATATTAACTATTTCTATTAAAAATGATCATAGTGAAGCTTATATTTACCTTCTATTTAAATCTAAACCTCTATCTAATCACTTTATCTTATCAGTTCAAGCCATCTAGCATTACCCAAACATTTAACTAAAATTAAACACATCAACATCAGTCTTTTTTATACCAGCACCTCTAGACAACTTTTTCTTATCCCTCACAGCTAATCTTAGTAATAAAACCAATAACACCTCATATTCTCATAATACTTCCAACTCTTTTAATCCAATAACTACACCCTATCAACCTTTATTCTTAAAAATATATATACATAATATAAGAGAATATAATAAAGATTTTAAACAACAAGTTTGGGAAGACTACTGTTTATTCTATAATATAAATATTATTGATATAATTGAAACAAAAATATCCCAAGATAATGCAACTATAAAATTACAAAAATCTTTATATTATTTCTATTATTGGTCATATTGCAATAACTCTAAAACTAGAACTGCAATTATGATACAAAATTATCTTAAACCTCATATATACAATATTCTTCAATTTCATGATTATGCAATTGCAATTGATTTATTCTTTAAACATGATTTTAAATTTCTTATTATACCAACCTATCTATATATAATAAATCACAACTCAGACTTCTGACTTAAAATACTATTATATAATAGATACAAGAAGCTAAACATAAAAATATACTGCCCATTATTATGGGAGACTTTAATGCAACTAATGACTCCTAATTTCTTTTTATCAAATTCAAACTTCTACATTTTTTATAGCATAATAATATGTATAACCTGGCCATCTACACTAATACTTTAACATCTATCTGGCATAGTAATCGATATAATAGCTGCATTGATTATATTTGTGCCAACTATTTTTTACTATACTACCTTATTTTATATACTACTAATAATCCAAATACTAGTACCTGTAGTGATCATAATATTTTTATTTCTATATAGGAATTCTCTTATGCCTTTATAAGCAATGAAAAGCTGTTACTAACACTAAAAGAAAAATATTCCAATACAAAAACATGAATTATGAACTTTGGCAAAACTTTACTGACCAAGTCTCATCTAATCTAAAATCAACTCACACTTCTCTTTCAACTCAAACAACTGTTTTTATTGAGACAACCTGGCACAAAATCCAAACTAGTATCATCTCTGCTGCACATATACACATTCTAAATAAAAAATTTACTATATGCAACTTCCAAAATATATTCTTCTTAAAAGCATTACAATTATACTTTCATTTTAAAAAACTTGAAAACATCATTAGACAAACCAAAGCTTCTATTCAGCAACAATCAACTATACCTACTCAATACAATCAAACAATTTATGAACTTAACTTTTCTCATCTTCTTAATATTCTATCCATACCAAGTGACTATGTACTATTATCTGAATCAATCTCTTTAGCTAATACAGAATGGAAATTATTATATTATGCATGCAATTTAGAAAACATTAAAAACATTAGAGAACAAATTAATAACAACATAGCAAAAAGATGCTTTAAACTTCAACATAAACCTATATCATGATTAACAGTATACTTAATTGATACTGTGATCCTGTCAGATTTGACAATATCAAAACTAATACTAATATCATTACAGAATTTTATTCATTAAACAACACATTTAGGACCACTTTGATTAATGGACTTCTTCTCATTATATTCAAACTCAAATCTTTAACTTCTTCTAGTCAGATGAATATTAATTCAAAGCTAAGATCAAATCTGACTAGTACTAACAGACTCTTACTAACTTTACTAAAAAGGAAATTTCTACATCTCTAAACCAACTTCTTAACAACAAAGCCCGTAGTCCATCAGGTATTAGCTACAAAATGCTAGAAAATGTAGACCCCACAATTATAACAACTATAACTGCATTTTACAACAAATATCTTAAACTAAAGTGCATACCCAAGCAATAAAAAGAAGGAAGAATATTCCTAATATCCAAAAAACCTATATTTGATGGCATTCTTACTAATACTAGACCTATTAGTCTTCTCAAACACATTAAAAAACTTTATACAAAACTTCTTACTAATAGACTTAATAGTATCTTTACCCAATATTCTACCCTATCTTTATACAACTATATTGCTCTGTCTGGCAATAGTACATCAATTTCAATATATATCTTAAACAATATTATAGAAAATGCTTTTTGCAACTCTAAACAACTCTGGCTACTATCACAAGATATAAGTAAAGCCTATGACTTTGTCAACTCTAATCTTTATAAAAAATCCTTATTATAACTACAAATGTTCCAACACCTTATTAAAATCCTAACTAATCTTCTTACTGATTACCACAATTATGTTATAACTAATCTTAGACTCACAAACTCTTATACAGTCAAAAATAATATTAATTAAGAAGAGACAATTATACCACTCTTCTGGAGAATTTACTATAACCCTTTTATTAGTAAAATTGCTAATCATTTTCATAAATACACTCTAAATACCTCATGGAAAACTAATCTCTCTCTACCCCAACTACAAAACTTACAAACCTCTATATCTGTACTGGTATATATGAATAATACTCTTTGGATAGCACAGTTCAAAAATGAACTTAAATCAATTACCAAAATGGCATCATTCTTCTATCATATAGCAGATATACAAATTAATTCAGCCAAATCTATCCTGGTTTTTAATACATCAAGGCCAGCTAATTCAAGCTAAAGCAACCCAACTAATTAATATTATTAGTACTAAAAAAATTACTAAAAAACAAATAGCATATATCATTAATACAGTAATCATACCAACTATTAAATATAGACTATATAATACTATTCTTTTACACTCTATATGCAACAGCATATTAGTCAAATACCTTACTATAGTTAAATATAAATTCAACTTATCCAGATTCTTTCTTAATAGCTCTATGCTCAATCTATATTTATACAATATTCATAATATTTAGAACATTCAACTGCAACATCACATTACTAATTTTCAACAATGAATTAATGATCCTAATATTCTTGACATAACAACTAAGATTAGATTGCAACAACTTCAAAAAAACCTCTGGTCTACTACTAATATTCTTCAATATAATTAATCTATTATTGACAGATATAACAAATTTAGTCTTAATTTAAAATTATTTAGTTGTTTCAACATTTCAATATTACAATCTCTGTCTATTATAATATATTATAACTAAATACTATATATAATACATGCCAACTAATTGAACTTATATTTATACAACATCCAAAATATATTATCTTCAAAAAACAATTAAGAAAACTTAATATCCTATATTTAAAGCAACTATTTACTGCTGATAACAGTACCTACTTAAATGACAACATCTTTCATAAAGACTACACCAACTAACAAAAGATAAACAACCTTTATAGTTTATCATTCTTGAAAACAAAATTATATTAGATAAATATCACAGAACTATTTTATCTCACTTTTAATTACTTGGTACTAACCCTATTGCATACAATATATATCCTATTGCCAAAAAACAAAAATCTTGGCTTCTTACTTATCATTCCAATAATGAAGAAATTATTATTAGCAAAATTTACAAATATATTTCTGCCTCTAATTCATTTTTAATTATATATTGGAAATCTAATATTAATTTAGATTACAATCAATATTACTCACTTCTACTTATTGAATGCAAACCATGTACAGGATGTCATTTTAATTCAAATAGAATTAACTAAATATGTACTATTAACATATCAGCAATTATTTCTACACATTTCTAGCTAAAAAAGCCTTTAACAATCTTAAACTCAATAC